TGCTCATGGTTAGGAAGAATCAAGATTGTGAAAATGGCCATACTGCCCAAAGTAATTTATAGATTCAATGCTGTCCCCATCAAGGTACCCTTGACTTTCACAGAACTGGAAAAAAACACTTTAAATTTCATATGGAACCAAAAGAGAGCTTACATAGACAAGACAATCTTAAGCAAAAAGAAGAAAGCTGGAGGCATCATGTTACCTGACTTCAAATTATACCACAAGACTACACTAATCAAAACAGCATGGTACTGATACCAAAACAGAGATATAAACCAATGGAATAGAACAGAGGCCTCGGAAGCAATGCCACACATCTACAACCATCTGATCTTTGACAAACTGGACAAAAACAAGCAATGGGGAAAAGATTCGCTGTTTAATAAATGGTGTTGGGAAAAGTGGCTAGCCATGTGCAGAAAGCAGAAACTGGACCCCTTCCTTACACCTTATACAAAAATTAACTCCAGATGGATTAAAGATTTAAACATAAGAACTAACACCATAAAAACCCTAGAAGAAAACATAGGCAACACCATTAAGGACATAGGCACAGGCAAGGACTTCATGACTAAAACACCAAAAGCAACAGCAACAAAAGCCAAAATAGACAAATGGGATCTAATTAAACTTAAGAGCTTCTGAACAGCAAAAGAAACAATCATTAGAGTGAACTGGCAATCAACAGAATGGGAAAAAATTTTTGCAATCTACCCATCTGACAAAGGGTTAATATCCAGAATCTACAAAAAATTAAAGCAGATTTACAAGAAAAAAACAAACAAACTCATTCAAAAGTGGGCAAAGGATAAGAACAGACACTTTTCAAAGGAAGACCTTTATGCAGCCAACAAACATATGAAAAAATACTCATCATTATTGGTCACTAGAGAAATGCAAATCAAAACCACATTGAGATGCCATCTCACGCCAGTTAGAATCGTGGTCATAAAAAAATCTGGAGACAACAGATCCTGAAGAGGATGCGGAGAAAAAGGAACATTTATACATTGTTGGTGGGAGCGTAAATTAGTTCAACCATTATGGATGACAGTGTGGCCATTCCTCAAGGATCTAGAAATAGAAATTCCATTTGACCCAGCAATCCCATTACTGGGTATATACCCAAAGGATTATAAATCATTCTCTTATAAAGACACATGCACACGTATGTTTGTTACAGCACTGTTTATGATAGCAAAGACCTATGACCAACCCAAACGCCCATCAATGATAGACTGAACAAAGAAAATGAGGCAAATATACACCATGGAATACTATGCAACCATAAAAAACGATGAGTTTGTGTCCTTTGTAGAGACATGGGTAAATCTAGAAACTATCATTCTCAGCAAACTGACACAAGAACAGAAAACCAAACACTGCATGTTTTCACTCATAGGTGGGTGATGAACAGTGAGAACACTTGGGCACAGGGAAGGGGACAACACTCACTGGGCTAGGTTGGGGGTGGAGGGAATGGGAGGGGAGGGACAGCAGGGGGCAGGGAGGATGGGGAGGGATAACACTGGGAGAAATGCCTGATGTAGGCGATGGGGTGGGGGGGTGATCAGGGGGATGGAGACAGCAAACCACCATGGCATGTATGTACCTACACAACAATCCTGCAGGATGCAGGATGTGCACATGTGCCCAGAGCCCAAAGTACAATTTAAAAAATGCAAAGAAAAAAATCCACACAATGGTGACATTCATTTTTGTATATCTGGCACAAAGTCCAAAGTAGGAACTCAATAAATGTTGAATTATTGATAGTGAATGAAATCAACCAACTAACCAAGTGCTAGATTGTGTGGTACTGACTCTAGAATTGAAATAGACTGGAAAGGAAATTCATAATGGACTGGGGTAGTAGCAAAACTTCTGAATAAGGTGAGCTGAGTCTAGAAAAATGAGAACGATTTGAATTATTATGCAGGAAAACTGAAGTCCCATCGGGCAGAAGGGATACCATGGGCAGGCCCAGAGCCTCTGCTGAGGCCCCCTTTGCAGCTCCAGCTCCCATCCTTCCTCCATGGCTGCTGCTTTACAGGCTTTTGCCCTGAGCCCATCGCTTCTGATCTGATTTGCCCTACCCTTGAGCTCTGTCCAACTAGTTCTCAGAATGTCTTGAAGTTGGCCTCTTTGGATTAACCAGGAATGCCTCTCTCCTTTGGTGTGGAGTGGAAAAACAAACAATGTGTGTCCTATGGATAATTCTGGGTTTTTGCAAGTAAAGTAATAAATTATTCTAAATGGGGCAGAAATGATGACGAATATCTCCCACTCCCAAGCAGCTGTGAAGATGGCTTCCCATGGAGATTTTGGCAATTGAGAGACCCTCTCCAAACTTTGAGAAAGACATTCCGAGCAGGACCTCACAACAACCTTTCACTTCCCCTTACACCTCGGCCAAAATATCGGGGCCAATGTAAACCCAGCCTTCTCAGACCTTGGCGACTGGGGCTCAACACAAAACCCTGGGTTCCTCCATACACAGAGGTTTTGTTTCCCAGTGTCAGAAAGGCATCTTCTAGCTCAGGTTTCCTATAGCGTTTCCAGCTTGGCTCCTGTCAGAGATTCCCTTGGTCAGAGTCACTTGGTAATTTGTCTCATGATAGGTAGAGCTGCCCCATATCAGAGCTATGAATTGGTTGGGTTTTTAGAAAAATTCCTTATCTCCAGTTGTGGGAAAAAATTGTTGATTGTGGTATCCTTCATCTAACCGACTACTTTTTTATTCTGAAAAAGGCTCCTAATGCCGCAGCAATGTGTGTCAGAGTCTTGTCCTCTTTGATTCTGTTTTTCAGGAACAATAGGAGACACGGAGAGCCCTGCTCAGTAGCAGAGCCGCTCTTCTGCAGCACAGCTCACTTTTGTAGGAAAAAGAGTGATTTTGCTTTGTATAGGGTTGTTTGCTTACTGCTCTCCTGAGCCAGCAGTCTCGTCCTTGATAGAAAAGAGGAGCTGCCAGCCACTCTGTTATCTCATGAAAAAGACAACTGCAAACTATGTCAGCATACAGTGCCTTATATTTCTACAATAGCATTTCTGCCCTTCAAGAGCAAAGAAGTGCAAAGAAGATCCTAAGAAAGAAGTGAAGGAACAAGGACGAAGTATGAAAGTTTAACTAGTCTGAGAAGGAGGCAGACGGGGGCCAAATCCTGCAGTGGGAAATACAGTCTTGAGGTTTGGGTACCAGTCTTCAATAAAATACTTCCTTGTGAGGACCGAAAGTCTTTTCCCTGTGGATTGTAAAAACCCTGGGTCTATAAATCCAACGTTTTCATGGCCAAAATCCTGATTTTTTTTTTTTGTATAATAGTTTTAAAAACTCACTCTGTCACAGGAACAGATACAAAACAATAATGCAGGAAAAAGATATGGATCTGGAGAAAATAAATTTTTATTACCAAGATCAGAGCATCCATTTGTATGGATCGATCATCCAACTCTGGCTAATTTTACTTCCTGTCTAGGGCACTTTTTCTGGGTTAAACTGTGGGATGGGAGTCTTAACATTTGATAGGCCTGCTTTCCTGAAGTTCCCAGATTGCCCACATGAAAGCTGTCGCATGTGCCAGCCCTCCACTGAAGAAGGCACAGGTTCAGGACCTGGCACCATGCAGCTGAGTGGCACTGCTCCCAGAACTCTCATCCAATAAAGAGCCATTGTGGGATCTGGACCCTACAATATGCAGGACAAACGACTGAAATTTAAAGCACAATGCATGTGAGTAGAAACAGAAACTTGAATGGAGTGGTAATCACTTCCTTAGTGCGGATCATATTATTTTTCATGGGACTTCATTCTGTAATTCAGTCCTTGCCCAGGGTAATAGTATAGATTTCCATTTATCAGTTGATAAGTGAGAATGATTACTGTGATAGCCATTAAGCAATGCAGGTTATCAGCGGTGGTGAGGAAGAAAAGTGGAAAATTGTGGGAAGGGATTGGCACTCATCAGAAAGAGACAAAAACACATGGAAAGAGATGGAAGTGCTGATTCTCTGTTTGTGATCAATACAAGCTACAGTTCAGCTGTTGAGGAATTTGAGACTGTGTTTACTGGTATAAGAAACTAAGGCCCAGGGCTTCAAAATAGCTGTGATTTCTATGTGAGAATGAGGGATGAGGCACGAAGTGGGGTTAGAGCCAGGGGAAAAGGTCGAGCTTAAAGGGATTGCTGTACAGCCGACACCCAATGTGAGCATGAGTGCTTAGATAGTTAACGCTTAGATCCAAATACCAAGAGGCTGAGTGGAGTCAGGGCACTAATTCAGGCTGAACCATAGTTTCCATCAGGGTGATATAGTCTGACTGTTTATACAACAACCAACCTCACTACATTAAAAACCAAAAAAAAAAAAAAAGCAAAAAACAAAACAGATGCTGCTCTTTGTTAAGTTTTCTCAAACAAATAAATACGAAGGGACAGTAGAATGAGATTTCATAGACCAAATGGAAAATGCTCTTGCAATTGGACAATTTATTGCATTCCACATTCCTCTGTTTTAGAAACAGGTTTTTCTATCTCTAAGCCAACTATATTTTTAGCTAATCAGTTTTGACCAGAAACATGGTCTGTCTCAAATAACCTTCTTTCTTTACTATCTGGAGCCTGGAATTGGTCACAATTTCTTAACAAAGTTACTTGGTCTACTTATTTTCAGACATAATATAACTATCAACTAACATATGTCTATATACATGTACCATTTGAATGAAAACATCCTCATATCTGTGAAAGCATACAAATATTTCAGCTCAAAGGCCATTTGAGTCAAAGCCAAGTTACAATTTTTCATGTGTCTACTTGGCTAGCATGGTTCTACCCCATAAGTAATCTGCAATGTTGGTAGGTTATTTTAAATGCGTGTCAGTAGTTTCTTTCCATTTATGACATTATGCTTTTGGAATGGATACATCGTTTCTGGTTGAAAAATATAAATAAATATTTCATCCAGCATTGAATTCTCTTGTATTATCAACTCACCAGAATTAAGCAAAATAATAGATTTGAGGCACACAAACTCCTCTCCCTGCAGATTCATCATGCGGAACCGAGATGATGTAGCCAGCAACATGTCAAAGATCTCCACCATGCCCTCTACACATTTTCCCTGGTTCCTATTCAAACATAACAACAACAAAAAAAGATTAAAAACCAGAAAATCTTCCACAAGACATGAAAGGGTTCACATTCATAAAAATCTACTGGATCTAAATCTTTAACAAAAACTATTGTCTTCATGGACCATGAACATTCATTTGAATTCTAGAAGGTAAGACAAAAAATAATTTCCCATCAATAAAACATTCTCATTTCAACTTCTTAGAAGAGGTAGATAGTTCATTCCTCAAGTCAGCAATGTTAAATATGGAATTCTTCAACCTATGAGTAATTGAAAATGATTAAGACTTGGGTAAATGATTTCTCTAATACATGTCTATTGATCTGCTACTATATTCTAGACAATGTGGTAGCTCTAGGAATAAAAACAATGCCTCAGCTCAAGATGCTCATGGCCTGAACCAATATAACAAGTCCTGATAGATGTGTTTTGTAGTGTTTTTGAAATACAAGAACAACTACAATAACTATGGCTGGGCTGAGCTAATTGGTTTGTAGGAGATGGTATGTAAGGATTCACCTAATAGGTGGTATTAGAGTGGACACTTTAAGATAATGTAAGGTTTCATCAAGCAGAGGTATGAATGCCTCCTTGGAAGAGGGTCCTAAACATGGGAGGAGGAGCAGCATGAAGGAACATAGAGTGGTGTGTTGGAGGTCAGGAGATGTCAGAGAAAATGTCAAATCATGACATTCTTAGAAGTTCAGGCTTTTAACTTTGGCATCAAGAATTAAACATTAGTAGTTGCAACTATTAAATAAGCAAACCAAAGGTTTGTAACATGTAGTATTTAAAAACGTGTGTCTGTATCTTTTCCACAGGGTTGGTGAAGAATTTTAGTGAGATATTACACATGAAAGGAATGCATTTTTTTTTTAGCACAAGTTAAATTTTGGCACAATGTGTTTCAGGGAGTCAGAAACAAGTTAAAATATTCTATGCATGCACAAGTATGTATTTGTGAAATATATAAACATTTAAAATATGAACACTAAACACATTGTTTAGCACCTTGTTTTGTTTCTAGTTAATAGATCTTGGAGTTCTCCATGAACTTCTTTTGACAGCTCAATATGTTTTTACCAAACAGAATGCTCAGCTTTCTTTAATTACTTTTTTCTTGGGTGACATTTGTTTGATTTCAAGTATTTTGTTGTTACAGACATTTCATTCAATGACTATCCTTATGTTTATGTCTTTGGAATATGTGTACAGATAGCTATAGAATAAATTCTTAGAAGTAGAATTGCTAGATAAAAGGGCTTATATATTTTAAATTTTGATAGTTCAAACATTGCTTCCAAATAGCTGGTACGATAGACTGTTGATAGAATATATCGGCACAGGCTTTCTCTGTACTGCCTGCTCTTGTCTTTTGACCATATTTTTCTGTTATTTGTCATTTTCACATAGATTTTTAAGAGTTCTTTAAATATTACAGTAATAAGCCATTTGTTATATGTATTTTTAATTGTTTTTCTTATGGTTTTTTATGTTTTTTCTTCTGATTTTGTTTCTGGTGGCTTATTCTGAAAAACATTTAATAGAGAATTAAATGTATCAAACTTTTCATTTATGGCTGTAGAACATTATGTCTTGCTTTAAAAGGTCACTCTCTCAATAACATATAAAAATTATCTTATATTTCCTTTTAGTATCCTTCCATCTTTTTATGTTCTATCTTTGATCTTCTGGGGTTTATTCATTTTCATAACAATTTTATTGAAAGATAATAACATAATATATCATTTGCCCATTTAAAGAGTGTAATTCAATGGATTTCAGTATATTCACAGTGTCGTGCAACCATTTTTGGGGGGTTTATTTTGGTGTAAGGTATGAGAAAAAGATCCAATTAATATTTTTTCAAGTAGTTCATTAGTTTTCTATCTTTTTCACAGATTTTTTTTCTTTGACTTAAAAAATGTTGATTACTTCTGATATATTCATTTACTTCGAAGTGACCTCCAAGATTAGCATTATTATTTCCATTTTCCAAATGATGGAACTAGGACTTAAGCTTTTTAGCGTTAAATCACATTGCTTATCAACCAAAAGAAAGAATTCCAACAAGAACTTCTCTGTCTTTAATTCTCTCTCTCTTTTAATTCCTTCAAATATTCCAGTAGAGGAATATTTTTATTCCTCTACTGAGAGTCTATAACATGCTAGTCCTTAAGTTCAATATTAGAGTACAGAGAAGAAAACCATGGGCACTGTCAATCAGAAGATCTAGAATGGGAACAAGACAGACGAGGAGAAAGCCACATGCAAGACACAGGAAAAAGTCTAGAAAGAAGGCTTTTGCATCTAACGTCAGTCTCCCCAGATGCAACCCATCTCAATGTTGAAGCAATTGTCATCCTATTTCCAAATAGAGTTAAATGAGGTTTTTATGCGAAGTGCTTAGAATGGAGTGTGGCACACAGTAAGGGCCATCTTTAAGTATTACCTACAGGTATACTGACAAATACATGGCTATATCAAGGGAGAGGTTGGCCTTTTAACTTGAAGGAGTCAGAAAGAAACTGCCATGTGCATTTTGCTTTGACTGTAAAAATCTGGATGCATAGAAGCTCTATAGAAACAGAGCAGAAACTTCAAGAGCTATTCTGTCCAACATGCTGACAGGGGCTGACAGAGTGCTCACACCAAAGGCTCCAGTGGCGTTGAGTGGGGAGAGCATACTAGAAGTGGGTTTTCTTGTCATAGAGTTGAATTTTTTTAAGTAGTTCATCTTCTTTCTAGTGAAAAAATAAACAAGGAGAGGGGAAAATGTTTGGAGGATGAAGCTTTAAAAATAACAACTCATAGCCAAAATAGAGAAATGTTCCTTTCTCAGTATAAAGTCTCTGTTTACTTAACAGATTGCACACTGGCAGGGGAGGAAGTCTCAGTGTGGGAGGGAGCCTGTGTTCACCTGCTGTGAGCAAAAGTTCAGTTCAGAAACTGAAAAAGTGAGACTTCACAGTTCTTCTTTCTTCTTGCCCCTTTCAATTGTCTCCCATAGTTTCCCATGAAGAGCTCGTTCTTAACTCTTCCAGCAGGAGTGTGTTTTTCTCAGCCTCTTCTCACTTGATATCCTGTTTTTCCTAACCAGCAATTATTACCTGTCAACAATATAATGCTTGTTCTATGGCATAAATTAGGAGCTGTAGACTGTGCCCTCAGGGATGGTGTATACCCCAAACTCTCAATTCAGTTCTCGTGTGTGTGTGTGTGTGTGTGTGTGTGTGTGTGTGAGAGAGAGAGAGAGAGAGAGAGAGAGAGAGAGAGAGAGAGAGAGAGAGCATGTGTATGTTCCTTTTGAAGATGTGGAGGGGCATATGTTGACTATTAATCATACATATATTATGATAGGAAGACCCCAGAGCCCACCTTCCATGCAAACATATGTGCTTCATGTTTTGATGGTGTACTTCTGAACTTTGAGGACTTCTGGGGGGATATTCAATGCAATGAAGCTGCACTCTTCTAAGCAGTGCTGTTTAGAGGCAAGAAGAAATTTATGCTTCTATCTTCTTAAGAATAAAATTACCTTGTTTTTCAATGGGAGCTATTCGGTTGAAGCACTTCTGCTAATCAACTATTTGTACAATAAATAAAACTTACGTACTTTAATGACTCTGATTATAGTTTTGCTAAAGTATGCAAATATTGCCTGAATCTCAATGACTGGTTGATTATGTGGTACCTGTGGATCTCTCACTAGCATTATTACAAGGTGAAAATGCTTGCCACATGAGCTAGTGAAAAGTGATTTGTCAACCTACAGTCTGGCACAAATCTATGTGGACTTTGAAGATTAGATAGATATTTGTCATCTGCCCGAGGCAAAGACACCTTCAGTGTCTACTGAGGTCATTATGCATTGTGGTCGGGGCTTCATTTTCAAAGTCTAGCCATAATATTCTACACTAACTTCAAGGGGCAAATCAGACTAGAGCATTTAGCTCAATTTCAGTGGGTATGGATGGATCAATGGGATCAGAAATGGGGTTATTACTAAGAATCTGGAGGTAACATGACTATAAAAGACAAGATTAGTCTAAATCCATGAGGTGTTCCTGAGGCTGAGAAGCACACGGGGTAAGGAAAAAACAAGATTTATTTTTAAAGAAGTAAGTACACAGTTCCAGTCATAGATCAGGAGTAGTTTATCAAGCAGACCAGCCTATGACTCCTACTGTGAGACGTGACAGCCTGCAGTGATGAACTCCTCCATGGATTATGTCAGTCTGGTTTTCAGAGCATCTCAAAATCCCCTTGTGGAGAGCCTTGTTCTGCTACTTATCCTCTTCAAATGTGGTCCATCTGCACTTAAGTAATGGGGGAAAGAACCAGACTTCAGAGAGCATTTACTCATGGCATGTTCTGGAAGTTTCTTCTCTATAAAAATAAAAGCCTGTTTTTCAGAAGACCTAAGGATCTCTTCCTCAACATGGAAAATAAAGAGCTCTAATAAGGGTGTGCAGACTAAACCTTCACTTGTACACTTTCAAAAATATGCCTTACAAAATGTAAAGTTACCATTAGCATCTTTTTGTATAAAAGGAAACTGATAAATGGAAACTGAGAAAACCCAGCAGATCAACATAAGACATTTAATTTAGCTGTCCTGAAGAAAAATACAATATGGTTTTAAAAAGTTAACAAATTAAGATGCTGTTCAAAATCAATAGTGGCAAAATTAGATGCATTTAAAGAGCTTCTTCATCTTCAATGCTACAAAATCTCTCAGCATGTGCTCAAAATGCTGAGACTCCATAAATATTTATATGATCAAGAGGTTTACATATGCAGCTCTGAAGTATGGAAGAAAGTGATGAAGATGGAAAATTGTAACTGATATATCCTGAAAGATGCAAAATTTAAAATGAAAGTTGTAGAGACTCTTGAGTCCAGCTGCCCAGGTTCAAATCTTGATGCCACTATTTACAAACTTTGTGACCTTGAATCAATTACTTAAACTCTGTGTGTCTGAATGAGTATACA